GGGTTAAGGGGTTAAGGGGTTTAGGGGTTTAGGGGTTTAGGGTTTCAGTGTTAGGGCAGAGGGTTGGATCATACCGTTGATGATATAAATCCTGCATTACCTCAAGGACCCTAAACTATGGGACTTATGGTATGATCTATATTCCTTCTTAATGGTTAATGCAGGATTGAAATCATCAACCGTATGGAAAGCTCATGAATACTCTTCCGATCTCTTGGTGTCTGGAGCATCGGGTTTTCCGTTCAGAGGTTTTGGGGCTTTGAGTTGCAAGGTTGATTCCAACTTTAGGGTTTAGGGTTTAGGGTTTAGGGGTTTAGGGTTTAGGGGTTTCTCTATAGGTTACTAGAACATACTCCCCCCCCCTGAACAAAAAAATAGCTGTTCTGACTATGAAGGCCTTTCATTACGCAGCCATTGTGGGATACCTAAGCGGGAAACTCTCAAGCTGCCCCGGTTTCAGTGTTCATACTTTGGGATATTACGCCTCAGATCGCAAGCTGTTTAAAAGCCGGAATCGTAGGTTTTTGGGTTCTAGTTGTAGGGTTCAGGGCCCACTTAGGTCCTACTTCCGCCTGGTCTCGCAAAACAGCTGGACCAGCATCCTCACGTCTACGGAAATCCTAAGCCTAAAACCTCCATCCCCAGACGTGAGCCCTAAACCCTCAGCCCTGACCCTAACCCTCCAGGTACCTACTATAGAGGGTACTAGAGCCCCTAGGGCCCTATATAATATAGTAGGTACCTGGAGGGTTAGGGTGAGCCCTAAGCCCTATCTTGAATCAAGCTTGCAGATTGCTCCGAGTGCGCTTCTGCCCCTGTACCCTCGGAACGTCGTGGAGCCAAGCTGGCACGCTTGCTGTTTCGGGGTTTCCGGGAATCTTATTATAGGGAAAGGGACTGAAATCCAAGTCACTTTCGGGTTCTGAGTTTTGGGTGGGGATTTGGAGTTTACAGGGATTTGGTGATTTTGTTAGCATGTCATGACGTGGCTGAAAGATGTCATGTGTGAGGAACCAAAGTCCATGCCTCAGTGTTCTGTTGATTTGAAATCGTGCGACGGAAGCAGGCTTTTAAACCCTAAACCCTAACAAACCCTAAAACCTACCAAACCCTAAACCCTAACAAACCCTAAGCTCTAACAAACCCCGAACAGCGCGCTACGTTGCAGCCCGACTTCCCCCAGTTTCGTGCTCCTATGGCTTTGCCTTGTTGCAGACCTCCCTCTTCTTGTCTTGTCCTCGCATATCATCATTACTAATGGTTTAGGGTTTAGGGTTTAGAATCATTACAGTTCCAGGGGTTGTGCGTAGCTTTTTGCGCTTTGCCCGTAGTCAAAGTCTCCATTGTAGTTCTTTTTTGGTAAACCAAATTCAAATTATTGGATCCTAACCATAAAATTGGGTAGCCAAAAAAGGAACTACGAAGGAGATTATAGCTAAGGTTCTAACGGAACCTGGTTAAGAAACCCTGGCTCTCCAACCCCTAAAACCTAAAACTTAAACCCTAAACCCGAAACCCCAACATGTCGGGATTCATATTAAGAACCCAACTGAAGATCCAGGGTTTCTTAATCATGTTCCTAATGTAGGGGCTTAAATAATTACCAATACTATTTTGGGGGTTCCTTAGTGCAATTATAGTATAGAGAGCCCCAAAACCCTATTCTAATTATTCAGGCCCCTATAGTACAGTACATTAGCTCTTTGCGCTTTAATTTACGGTGCTATCGGGACCTGTGAAATCTCGCAAGGCTGGCTTTCATGCTCTCGCAGCATTTGCCTCGTGCACCGCCGGCTCCACCAGGCTTTGGCTGTGGGTAGGGTTTCCGATTTGGGGCTGGTGATCTGGGGTTCAGGGTTTAGGGTTTAGGGTTTAGGGTTTAGGGGTTCGGTCTTATAGTCTTGTGGATATATAGGGTTTCAGAGTTGGGATTTGGTGGGCTGGCGATAGGTTTGAGTCTTATAGCCGGTTGGATATACAGAGTTTCAGAGTTGGGATTCGGTGGCTGGGAGGCTCGCTGGGGTTAGGGGCGTCGGCGTCGTGCAGCGTTCAGCTGTGAGGCTTTCATGGAGCCTTGCCTCTGGGTTAATGGTCTATGTTTGTTTGGGTTATAACCCACATTAGGGGACTTATAATTACCCATGAACCTCCCTAAACCCTAAACCCCTAAACCCCAAACCCTGAACCCTAAACCCCTAAACCCTAAATCCTTAACCCCCTAAACCCTAAAACCTTAACCGTGTTGTTTAGGGCTTGGGAGACTTCCGGGTTCCGTGCTTTGGTATAGTAGACCTGGCCTGCTCGTCTACGGTGTGACAGGTTCGGGTAGATCGGGTGCGTTAGGGTTTAGGGTTCAGGGTTTAGGGGTTTAGGGTTTAGGGTTTAGGGGTTTAGGGTCGGCCTGGGGAAGATTCTTCGAAGCGGTTCCCAGAAGAAGATAGAAGCTTAAATCACTCATACTATTGTTCCTTAGAGTTCATCATGGTAGCTTTGCTTACAGTAGAATAATATACATATATATATATATATATCCTAACACCCTATTGAAAAATAAGACATATGAAGACCCATGCTGGGTCGACTAGACCCCGTTGCTGCAGGACCTTGAGATACGGATGGCTCAAGCAATCTTCGTTAGCACAAGGGCTTGTTGGGTGCCTAATTCCATGATCGTAGTACATGTGGACGCGTTAATATAGATGTCTGAAGAATGGGTAGTACTAGTCCTTAGCTCCCCCATTACAACTCCAGTATGCTATGCCATCAAGCCCGAATAATGACAATTGAGGCCACTATACTAGGCAAGCGAGGAAACCATGAACCCTACATCCTAAACTCTAAACTCTAATCCCTAAACCCTGAACCCTAAACCGTCGAGCCTACATCCCAAACCGGAAATCCTCTACGCTAAGCCCTACCTTATACTACCAAATCCTACTTTTTTGGAGGTTCTTATTATAGACTTTCATATGGAATTCATAGGGATTCTACAAAAAATAGGCTTGGGTAGGTTAAGGTAAGCCCTAAATCCAATCTCTGAGAATACCAGTCGAGGCCAGGTCCTTCATAAGGGTTTCGTTTGTAGAGCTTAAGGCTTAGGCTTAGACTTTGGGTGTGGGGTTTGGGTTTCAGGTTTAGGGTTTAGGGTTTAAGGTTCAGGCTTTGGGTTTGGGGTTTAAGATTTAGGGTATGGGGTTTCTAGGGGTTCTAAAGTTACTGCAAGGGCTTAATATGGGGCCTGAATGAGTCGGACTAGGATTTTAGCTTTGTCCCGATACCGACCGACTAAACCACCGTAGAAAACCTGCCGGAACCCAACAATATCTCTAGGAGTCTGAAAGCTTTTGAAACCCTCCGGGTTTAGGGTATAGGGCTTAGGGTTTGGGGCTTAGGGTTTAGGGTTTAAGGAAAAACCCGGTAAAGAAAGCAACGCTTCAAAACAAAAGCTTTTGGAGGGACCTTTTGGTCTGTGACGGCACGGGCTTCCATGCTTGTGGTCATTCCTCCTGTGGGCTACGCCGGGCTCTCAGAATGCAGAAGGGGATTCAGGTATGGGATTTGTCTTTTTGCCGTATTGTGGCGGGGTTGTGGGCCCAAGATGCAGGGTTTATAGTGTTCGGCGCTTTTTTTGTGGGGGAGGGGGGGGGGAGGTGCAGAATTCGCAACGATCCCAAGCTGGGCAAAAAGCCGCTCGGGGAGCACCACCGAGGATCCATGTCGGAATTCAAGAGGTTCGACGGTTTGGTATGATGATAACAGAAAAATACCTAAATACCCAAACCGCAGACCCCAAACCCTAGTGGGATTGTGGGCCCTAGATCCTGGGCATGTAGGGCTGAGGGTGTTAGGAGTGTTAAGCCTAGTTAAAGCATCTGTGTGGTATCGATGTCATGGGCAGCCACCAGCCTCTTCTGATGGTGACCTACATTGGGGTCAGCATGATTTAACTTCGATACAACATGGGATTTAGTGTTCAGTACAGGGTTTAGGCTTTAGGGTTGAGTAT